TATCATGAGCTCCAAATACTTTATTTGGGTTCCTCATGTTCCATAATGTCTTTAGGAATTTTTCCCGAATTTTCGGAGCTTTCGGAGTATGTTTCGTGGCTTAAATAATAATTTTAGACTTTACTGGAATTATTTTATCCATGAAATTAATTAATTTCAAAAATAATAAATCTCTCATTTTTCTCAACGCTCAAAGCCCATGTGCAATAATCCTAATAAATCCTAAAGACACGTGTCTTTATTTATTAATGAGCTTTAATGTTTATTTAGGCCCATTAGTGCAGGTGGATGGTGCAACGTCAATTAGTACCATATCACTAGTTGACGTGGATGTGGAAAGTTTTTCTCCCTATAAATATGTACCAACCCCTAAGGCAAAGCACATCAAAACTACCGTAAAGGTTTCTTCCTCGTATACTAAATTAGAATTTTCTCCCTTCCTATCATATCACCGTTGGCCTACTCCGACGACTCTTTCCGCGAGTCCCCACCATCACAAGGTACCTCTCTTCCTTGTTTGTATCAATACATCATCGTTTGACCGTTTCTCCTTTGTATTTCTTTTTCCGTTGACGTTTTCCGATGAACTTCCATGGACGGAGTTTCTTCTTCGTGTTCTCCGGCCACCCCGCGACTACAGCGGACCACCGCCCTTCCCTCGGGCCCGCGCCACCACCTAGGCCCTTGCTCTTGCGCCCAGCCCTGGCCCGGCCCCTTGTGCGTGTGTGCCTGCGCGGCCACGAGCAGCAGCCGCCTGCTGCTGTGCCTTCCGTCACCGGCCGCAGGCAGGCGCCGTCGCCCAGCCCGACGCTACGCCGCTGCCGGCCGGCCAGCAGGCCCCGCAGCCTGAGTCCCTCCCTCCCCTGGTCGAGGCCTTCCACTCCAGGTGTGCTGTTCAGCAAGCAGCAGCAGTCAGCAGTTAACGTACATGAAGAACGTGGATGGAGGTAGAAGATGATAATATTTAGGAAATTACCACGGTTACGAATATCCCCACCACTTATCCGTTTTAATTCCGTTTTAAGTGGTTTAAGTTGCGTTAGATTCGTGTCGCCGAGATCTACGTAGTAGAGTTATTAGTTTATATGTCACATGTTTATGAATTTATTTTATTAAAATATTAATTGTGTTATAATTAATTAATCGCTATTTAAGAAAAATCGATTTAGGTTTTTGATTTCGATTCGATTGCGCGAGTTTCATCGCAATGTGTGATACGTGTTAGCAGCGACGTTTAACATGTCTCACATCTTGGAAATTTATAAGTTAAATATTAATTTGATTAATGATTATTCAATAACTTTTTAATTAAAAGCAATTTAAGTTTTAATTCCGTTTTGCACCGTTTAAGTTGCGTTTGATTCATGCTGACGTGATCTATATGTTAGTGGCAATGTTTTTCATGTCACATGTTTTTCCATATGTAGCTAAATATTGAAATGATTAAATATGCGTGCAAATTGTTTTATAATTAAGTATATATGTTTTATATATCGGCAATTTATGTATAATGTCAATATGATTAATTGTTGAAATTAATATGTTTCTAAAATATAATTTGCTTAGTTTAACAACATGTCATATACAATTCGACTAGGTGCTCTCACATGTCAACTTGTATTTGCAAGTTAAAATTGAATTAGCATAAATGGTATCGAGATATTTATAAATAAAATTTGATTAGTTAAACACGTTGCATATGTAATAAACTCTTTAGTTGCTTTCACATATACTTTATTTTGCAAAGATATAGCTTAACTTGATTAAATTATATGACATTGTTTATGAATAAAACATGGGTAGTTTCAACTCGGGCTTCGGATTAAATTATGTTTTAACTAATCCAAATTAATAACACCTTCATATAGTTTTTCTTAATTAAAATAAATTAAGCATTTATGCTTTTCTTTTATAATATAGAACTCCGGTAGTCATTTCTTTTGCACCGTAGTTTCGTTATCGGCGTTTCTTGCGTTTTCTCAACCATAGTATCTAGCTCTCTTTTAGTATGTTGTTTTCTCTCGTGTGGTGAATTATTCTTAGTTGCTTGTATGTTTGCCTATGCGTGGTGCTTACTACGAGTAGAACGAGAACCGTTTGCGAGCGCTGAAGATTAGAAGGTGATAACCCGAAGCAAATTATGAGGAAGTTTGATCAAGTGTAGAAGGCAAGTATAGCATGTGATCTTCCTTGTTGTCCTATAATCATTTAATTCATATTGCATGTGTCTACCTTGACTACCACTAAGGATTTCCTAGTCTTTTGTACCTTGTGTCTTGATACCTATGGGGTATTGCATTGGGTAGTATGATGCTAGTGCTCAACTACAACCATGACCTTGTAACTTGACTAATGGTATATGCAATAAACACTAAAATATGCTTTTTAGCAACATGGGATAAGGGGGCCAGAGCATTGGGCTGTTTTTATGGTGCTCTAGATTCATCTCCCTAAGGACTTATCTATAAGCGAATATTTAGGACTTACAGTACAGCTGTGAGGGCTATATATCTCTGGCTTTAGCTCAGCATGAGGACCTTTTCTAGCTTGTTAGTGGTTACCTTTATTGGCGTAAGAATGGCTTGAAGAATCGAGTATAGTGCGGCATCTGTCCCCTTGAGTATAGGCTGCGCGTCATTGTGCCATCGAGAAGACGAACTCTATATCTGTTTGCCGAGTGAATCTAGCCGCCCTAACTTGTTAGACGAACCTTTGAAAAGCTTCATTGTGAACCCTTCCGACCTTCCCTAGAAGTGGGTCAAGAGATTAGCTACCTCGGGCGAAAGGGTAAATCATGACTCACAGTGAAAGTGTACAACCTCTGCAGATTATAAAACTGGTATATCAGCCGTGCTCACAGTCACGAGCGGCCTTGGACCCTTACGGATGAGATGATGAACACTGATGATACTGATGATGAAGATGCTCACTAATGATTACTGTTTATGCTATTCATTATTCATGTTTACCTAATCATGTGTTTATATAGGCTTGTGAATAAACTTATTGTCACCCAATTGCTAAAAGATGACTCATTAAAAGCAAATCGTAGTTAAACCAGTGTCAGCCTTTTGAGCCTCATGAACCCCATGTTATATTTGTTGAGTACGACATGTACTTACACTTGCTTTATTTTTTAATTATTTGGATAAAAATCCCGGATGGATACCAGATTGCTAGAGTTTGGAGGAATTAGGCTTATGATCAACCAGTCAGTTGTCCCTATGGAATTAGAGTCTTCACCCGAAGATCGGAGTTGTCTTTCCGCTGTTTGTTGTCTAAGGTTATATCCTTTATACTAAGTACGTTATATTTTGAGCATTGTCTTATGATATTACCCTTATTTGTAGCTATATGTGAGATTTGACTTCCTAAGCTCATATATGTTGTGTATCTGGTTTTGTTCTTAAAACCGGGTGCTACAGAGGGATGCCTGTTGTTGTTCCTAGAACAAATTTTCTTTGTTAGTTCTCTCTTTCTTTGTACATTATATCATTTGCTTCCTTCTTAATGAATGTGCAGAATACCTGCCACAATTTGGTCAAAAAAAGGTAATGGGATTTATATCTGGTGTAGGTTGACACGGTATCACTTTATGAAGCTTCAAGGTTTCTCCTTGGACTCTTGGTGATGGACGGTGCAGAGAGCAACATGGGAAGTTAGTACATGTATTTCTTATTTTTTATAGTTGCATGCTTCTAGCAAATATTTTTCTATACAAGTACAACTTATACTAATTCTGCTACTAACTTTGTAGCCAAAGTTTGACTATATGGCATTGCCAGTGTGCTATCTTCGTTGTCTCAGAACAATGTCAATATTGTTGCCGTAACTCCACCTAGGAAGGCAATGCCCAATGCCTGGGCATTTGGTACTGATCTTACAAACATTCACAATAAGTGGGGGTAAGTTGGACTCAATAATAGAGAACAAAACCAAGCTCATGTAGTGTGTTGGCAACATAAGTGACGGCAATATCGACAGACATTGCTCTTTAACCATTTTTTTGTATTAAAATTTTTTATCTGATATATTATGCCCTTGCAGCTCCACCTTGCAGATCGATTTTTCTTTTCTGCAGGTAATATGTTTGATGAAATTTCCCTACATCTTTTTGTTATCATTGTCTACAGGTAATACTGACTACTAAGCTCAACGGGTGAAACAAAAGCTGAGGTTCTGTGGTAGTATCTATTTAGTGATTTGATTTATTTGAGGTACAGTGATAGAATGTTGATTGGCCTCGCGATGTTAGCCAATGACTACTTGTGTCGTCATAAATCTTTTTATGCCTTTGCTCGATGGTCAATGGTAGAGTATGCACCGCTATTACCATGTGGAATATTCCACTGGCACATGTCAAACACTTTCTAACATAATTTGGTCGCCATCCGTCGGGGTTCCTTCTTTTATGGCATAATATGAATCACGAAACAATATTGAGTATCAATACAATATAGCATTGTGCTAGCAGCTGTCCATTACCTATCGATGCAAAAGTTACTTTAAGTTGGTGATAAGAGAGTTAAGAGTACGATAAAATCGTTGTATAGCTTTACTTTGCACCAAAATATGGATTACAATTTGAATTATCGTGACATTATCTTTTACCCGTTGCATTGCACGGGCATGATCCTATGCTCTGTGAGCTACTGCATTATTTGTTCCCGTTGGCCGTTGCAATGCACGGAAAGTAGAGTTGGTGAGCATGCGACGCTACGCTCTCTGTGACTACTAATATCATAAACTTTGTTTTTTTCGATTAAATGTCACTTTAACGTTAGTATTTAATTTCACAGTATTGTTATCTTATCGTGCGATCTATGTGTTTTTAGTGCAAAAGTAGTTATCCCGTACCAACGCACGAGCACGCTATCTAGTCACGCTAATAAGATGATCTCATACCATAAGTAGGCAAGAACTTAATTGGTCAGGCATGCATAAAAAACTTCTGAGCGGCCACAACCTGTTTCTTTCCTCCAAACACTGGCCCACTCCTCTCACATCCATCTCATCTCATACCATATTAGCAAGTAGGGGCAGAGCTTGGTTAAGACCAAGCTGGGCCATGGCCACCCCTGCTCAATGTAATCTCCATCGTCTAAACAATAATTTTTATATTGTTCATTTGTGTTTAATGCTCAATTATATAGATTGGCCCCCTCTAATCCTGGGGTCAAGCTCTGCCACTGGTATTAGGTTGCCACCATCACACTAATAAGATGATAATTTTCATCCTCTTTCAACTAGTCTCTTACCATTGCTATCACGCTAATAGGATGATCTCGTACCATATTAGGTTGCCGCCATCACGCTAATAAGATGATCGGTTTCATCCTCCTTCAACAAGTCCCTTACCATTGCTTGGTGCTTTCAAGATCCAATCTAGACCACTCGTTACCCCCCTCCCTAGCTAGCTTGATAGCCCCAATCGTCCATCCCTTTGTTGCACCATAATTTTCTAATCAAATCAAGATCCACGTATATGGCTGCCCTCGTGAAGTGCTTTGCAATTAAGCATCATGTCTGGGCTTGAGCAACACCCTGTTCACTGTATAGGAGGAGCGCATTGGTTCAAATTATATATTCTGCAATCCTTGTACAAAAATTTATTTTAAAAGCAATTACGGTTATGACACACGCTTGGTATCTCTTCAACTTTAATTTGACATCAGAGCGACGCCATATTGCCTTCGCCTCACACAGCCACGGCACCTGGGGCAGCGCAACTCTCCCCGACGTAGCGGAGCGTGTCCTCGAGCACGAAGTAGCCACGCACCTGTGGGGCGAGGAGGAAGGACTGGGAGAAGGCGCGGGACTGGCCGCCGGGGGAGGTGACGATGGCGCGGCCCTTGACGAGGACGATGATGCCGCCGCCGGGCGTCGAGTGGGAGTCCACCGTGCAGTGTGTCGACCTCCATCTTCACGGTCGACATGTCCATCTCCATGATCTTCTTGTTGATCGCCTGAGGAGCCACACCAAACAAAAACAACGAACCAGGCCAACATTAGCTGCTGAATCTGATGATCACATATTCACATATTCACATCACAGATCGATCTGGTACCGAAAACAAGGAACGCACCTCAATTGTGGTGACGGAGTCCATTCCGCCGCCGCCAACGGCGGAAGGGCGGGCAAGGCGGCTGTTGTCCCGGTAAAACCTGTAGACCATGTTCGGCGACGCGTGTAGGAAGTGGTAGTATTGCTGCACGAACGCGTTGCCAACCTGCCCGCACAAATTAACACAAGCGAGAGATCAAACTCACAGCTCCCGAACCACCATGTACATGAGAACCTAGCAATATATATCTCGGCCGGCCTGAGAAGAATACGAAGCTTCTTACCAAGTGTGCTGGGATCGGCGCTGTGGCAGCGGAGACGACGGTGCCCTTCGTCGGGGCCATTGGATAGATCGGGGGAAGGGAGAGGACGGGGCTACGGGAGGAGGGGTGTGTAGGTCTCTGGAGGCTGCGCGCTATCTATCTGTTACGTATATCTGCTAGCAAAATTTGCCGGTGCGTTGCACTGGGACGTATAATTTATTGTTCAGCAGTACTTGTATTAATAGCAAACATGTCGTGCATCGTAAGAAGACGTACTATTGCGTGGTAACATAAAGCTATTAACTATCTTTGTCTAGTTTAATTGGGCCAACCTTTATTGCAATTAAATGGAGGTGCAATGAAGTATTAACCCCACATGAGAATTAGAGATTGACTCCACATATAAGGCGTGTAATATGTTTTTGACCAGCAGTTGTATTGTTTTTTCTAATAAGAACAGAAAAGGAACGAAACAAATAAATTATACCCTTCCTTCCTCTTTATTAGATTTCTATTCTATATATATTTTTCTAAAAATGAGTGGAGAGAAATTTTACCCCTTTAATATTAGGCATAGATATAGATAGAGATAGAGAGATGATAGAGATTTATTTGTATTTGAATTAGGATTCATATGCAACTGAACGGAGGGAAAAAAAGAAAATTGTAACCGAAAACGTGATGTTCGGGACCAAAAAAAAACAGGAAAACGGAAGGTGGTAGTACTGACTCTGAAAGGTCTAGGATTTTGTTTGCCTAAAAAAATTTAGTTCTTTAATAATAGAGAGAGGATAGAGAGGTCGAGAAAAATTTTGTCTCTTTAATATTAGGTATAGATATAGATAGAGATAGAGAGAGGATAGAGATTTATTTGTATTTGAATTAGGATTCATATGCAACTGAACGGAGGAAAAAAAGAAAATTATAACCGAAAAAGCGGTTCTTGGGACCAAAAAAAAGAGGAAAAATGGAAGGTGGTAGTACGGACTCTGAAAGGTCTAGGATTTTGTTTGCGCAAAAAAATTTAGTTCTTTAATAATAGAGAGAGGATAGAGATTTATTTCTATTTGGATTAGGATTCGGACTCAGGATACTAAAGATTTTAAGGATAGGATTCCTAGTTATCTTTGTTCTCTCAATAAATCTTGTATAGTCATATACAAAACAGGAGAGACAATTTTCATTTTACGGAGTTAGTTAGAGAAGGGCCGGACAAAAAAATGGGTGGCGAGAAATGTTGCCTCTTTAATATTAGGTATATATATATTACGACTAAAAAACACGTTAGGTCATCTCTTTTGTATAGACTAGGAGCAAACATATCCCTATATAATCACATCATGCTTTCAATTCGTCTATGAATCGAACTCTGCTCTAACTCGTATGGGTACGGGAGGTGGTTTTGAATTGGACTACGCATCATTGTTGTACACTTAACTTGTAGGTATGTACACATGAGAAAGTGGTGGACCACGAAAACACTTCGTATTTCAATTCGTTTTGGAATCATAACCTTGCTTGGACATGCTACTCTAACTTATATAGGCATGGAACAGATTGAGTTCACCGGATCTCCAATGGATAGTTGTGAGCCATGAAGGAAAAAGAATATTTCTTTCTTTAATATTAGGATTTATATTTCTATTTTTGTTTCTATTTCTATTTCTATCTATTCTTCCTGTTATCTCTATTTATTCTTTTTTACACGAAGATAAAGTTTTGCCGCTATTTTTATTAGATGAGAGATACAAGAACAAGGGTACTAAAAACAAGAAGCGTAAATAGTTGGGCCACAACTAAGAGCATCTCCGATAGTCCAAACAAAATTGTTAAATCAATGATTTTTCAAGTGGCAAAAAAAGTTGCGAGTATTTTTGCTGGGTTCTCTCAACCATTTTCCAAAATCTCGCTCCAAAAAAATAGAAGCAAATTTTGCATCAGGAATCTCAGACTTTTCTAAATTATTATCTGGACCATTTTTATACTGAACTCTAGTTTGTGCTCAGCCAATTCCCTTGGGACTCCTAGCATGTTTGCTGGCTTCAACACAATGATATGTTTGTTGTCCCTGAGGAAATTGGTGAGCGCTTCTTCCTATGCTTGTGTGAGCTCGGCGCTGATAGTCGCTGTCTTGGAGGGATTGCACGTCAACAAGTCGACTGTCTTCAGCGGAGTCTTCTCGGAGCTTTCAAGGATCCCGACTTCTTGCTGAGAATCTCCATTTGTCTTCCTTCATCTGCTTGGAGAGCTCGACTACTTCGCCTGGCTAGACAGTTGGGCCTTAGCCGCAATGTGAACAGCCTCGGTGTCGCAGACGTAGGAGTTCTTCAGGTCGCCTCTATAGGAGAGTATGCCATTGGGATTGGGACCCAACATCTTTAGCAGCAAGTACGGGTAGTGGGGGATCGCCATGGACTTGGGGAGGGCTTATCGCCCAAAGATGGCATGGTACGAGCAATCGAAGCCGGCTACCTCGAACTTGATGTACTTGGTTCTATAGTTCTTCTCTATATCGAACGTGACTGGCAGAGTAACTTGCCGGAGGGGCAGCACCGCCTTTCCGGTTATGATGCCATAGAAGGGAGCATCATTTGGTGTGAGGAGGTTGGTGATATCGAGGCCCATCTTCTTCAGCATGCTGGCAAGGATGACGTTTAGCCTCGCGCCACCGTCGATGAGGACCTTAGTGAGTTGAACACCTGCCACCATCGGGTCCAGAATCAGTGGGTAGCGCCCTGCATTGGAGAAGCTTGTCCACCGATCCTGCCTTGTGAACTGAATTGGGACCTCGGATCACAGCAGGTACGTTGGAGTTGCGGGTTCAACAGCCATGATCTCGTGGAGAGTAAGCTAGAACATTGTTACCCAGCTAGAACTCTCGTCCTTTGTCCCGCTTATCATGGTCTTCATCATCATCCGCCTTGTCTTTACTCTTTGCCTTGTCCGACTTCGGAGTAAAGTCGTGACCTCTGAGTTTCTGACAATCTGCGAAGTTTTAACAGGGTGAGCCTGAACAAATGAACTAATAAATAGTAATATCTAAGTGAGCTCTTTTACAATGGTTGGAAAAGTATCATTGGTACCTCCAAATACTTTCAGTTTTTTCTATTTTTTAGCTAACTAATTGAGAAACATCATTTATTAATTATAATTTGTATTACAGAGGGTATTTTTGGTAAGTGAGGTTATGCCTTCACGTAACCCTCTCATGTGCTAACTCCGCGCGCTACTGCGGCGAGCTGTCGCACACCGCCGGAGGAGAAAGAGGGCCAGACCTCCAATACGATTGTCGTTACGGGTAGAGGATGTGGAGGTCGGGCCGCCGTCGAGATCCCACGCCGTGCCGGAGGAGGTGGAGGGCCAGGCTGCCGTCAGGTCTCCGTGCCAGATCCTACCACTTGCTAGCGCGAGGCCTCTGCTTCTCCATCACGTATGGTTCCTCTGCGGCCACGGTGCTGGGCTGCTGGCTGCCATGTCTCCCAAATACTGTTAGTCATGCCTTGTGTGTTCCTGAAAATCGAGAGACTGTTGCAGACCCATATATGTTTGAGAAGAGTCGCAAGCTCGATTGCTGCCGCCGTCCTATCAGCATTGCCTACTCGGAACCTTTCCTTACCTTTGCTGAGTGCCTGAGTGTATACTAGAAAGCTTCAAAGCTTGGAATCGGCCAATATTTGGACATCGGCATCCAAAGCTTGGAATTTTTTTTATACCACCCAGTAGGCAGCAGCAAGAGGTCAGCCAGCCATGGCGGCACATTAGCAGTTTAGCACAATGGCTCGGCGTGCCTATCTAAATTACAAATTCAAATGCCTGCCTCATTCAAGCTTTTCCACGATTCAGAAATATCATCCGGACATGCAAAAGCATTTTGTTTCTGCGAGTGCAGTAATTACCGTTTACATTACTAATTACGAGCATAATAGCTTCCAACTGGAGTAACAAACAAAGGGGAAATTAAGCACAATGACAAACATCGGATTCTGATTCAATAGTGTCTAAAGAATCATAATGCAGATAGATGGCACACATTAATTATTCAGGTACAGGAAGGCTGACAACACCTTAGTTTCACTCCAAATCCATAAGAATGAATGATACTGATCCATGCCCATGTCTGCGGTGACCACATTTGTTTTTGATGCCGCTTCAAGCCAATGGTGCTGGTGCTTGTGCCGGTGCTTCTATTTGTGGAGACTGGTTTGGGAACGAGGCGGGGAAACCAAAGATGATTATTAAGGGAAAATGATGTAATAGCAGAGCAAGTGCTGAATAAGCCAATGCCCAGATTACCCCCTTCCTCGTACGTAAGGGTTTTAGGAGAAGAAGACGTGCCAAAATGAACTCCAATTGATTATATAGCAGTATGACAAAAGTGATGATAAATAAGTAAAGTGCAGTGCTCGGAGCCACCGGAGCTAGCACCACATACGCAGCAAGTGCAAAGGCTGCAGTCAGGCATGTAATCGAAGTAGATATGGAGGTGGCCGCAATGCGTAAGTTGGTTTTGCGGCTCAAAAGGTTGGACAAAGGGCTTCCAGACCGCATGAGTGAAACGGTAGCAATCGTGGAGAAAACGAAGGCCAATGTGTTGGACACGATGAATGCATCGAAAGCATACCTTCGAGCAAGTATCGGTGTGCCTCCGTTAGTGTGATCATCAGCTATGTAACCTCCAGGCACAGCAAAAGTTGCTCCAAATGTCACGGTTGCTATTAGAACTGAGCCAATACCCAGAGCTCCAGTCGACTCTTTCAGCACCTCCGATTCATCAAATGCTGCGTTTTCTCTGAGAGTTATGTTATCGTTGAAGTGATCCAGGCGACACACACCCATGACAGCACCAACGTGCATTAGTGTGAGGCGTGTTTGTGCTTCAATACTCTGCAAAAGCAAAACAAAAAGAAGCTGAGCGGCCCAAATCTCAGTTGTTCACCCATGCTTCAGAATAAAAAATCAAAATGAGCGGATAAGCATGGATTACTTGAATATTGTAGAATTCTACTTTGGGAAGCTTATATAGGGCTATATCCAATGGAGTCTCCCCTTTTTTGTTCAGTAAATTCAAGTTTACTTGTGGGTTCCCCAATAGAGAACAAAACATTCTAAAGCTCCCAGCCTCGAGAGCAAGGTGAAGTGCAGTATTCCCATCATTGTCTACCATATTCATAATCCATGATAGTGATAGGTTTCGGCAGGCATTTCTGATTACGATCACCTCCTTGTTCTCGACAGCGACGTGAAGAAATGTCCTTCCCTTATCATCGCACAGACCGGCGCTACCAGGATATTTTTTAACAAACATGTCGATGTTCCTGAAAGCACCTACAGAGGCAGCAACGTGTATGGGAAAAAATCCGGCATGGTCTGGTTGATACAGGGCATCGGGATTAGCTTCCAACACTTGCCGACAAATGATCGATGGCTTCTTTCTAGCTGCGGCAAAGTGAAGAGGCGTACTACCCTTTTCATCCCTTTGTGTGGTAAGGTCCTTGTTTTGTGGGCAGAGGTATGTTTCATTCCATTTTAACAACTTTGTAAGATCATCTGCAAACACCATTCCTTTGTTATCAGACTAATCAACGTCAGAAAAAAAAATACAATTAGTATATGTGAATCAATGACTTTTCAGTTGGAATATAGCCAGAGTAAGGAAAGATATGGTAATCCTGAAAAGGTTTTTGAAAAGTAACAGTCAATGAGCCTACGTGTACCTAGCCAAATCTCGCTGCATTTCGAAGTGATCATGGACTTAAAATCATGTACACAAATAGAAAATTATATCAAAGATACATTCCACTCAGTTACGGCAATCAATGGACTGCATTTTTTTTTTTATAAGGATCAATGGACTACATGCTCATGTTTTATAACTCATGCACATCTTCAGTTTCAAAAATGCCTAGTGGTGTCCTGTTATGTGTGCACCCAACAAAAGATGCAAACCCATTTTAGTAAGTAGGCACATAGGTCCAACTTAAACAAGATCAAGCCCTTGCATTAAAACTTAATGAGGTTCCATAGTTTGAGATCTGATCAAATGCCTACCCTACCAACACAAAGAAAAGGCATTCAGGACCTTTTGATGCATCCTTGTGTAAAGATTTTTCTAGGAATAAATACTTCACAATTTCGTAAATTATATGGTCATATCTAGTAGCACAACTTTTTGTACAAATATGCATAGATAGAGAGTGTCAAAACTATATATGGTAGTGTTTGAGAATAAAGGAGAAGTCTTCAAACCCAGTTTGTAATAAGTTGGAAAAAAAAAGGAAAGATGCATGTGTACCGTGTACGTACCTCGCTGTCGGAGAACGGCAGCATGCAACACATTCTGTCCATTTGGTCCGGCGAACGAAAGGTTTCCATGGCTCTTTTCATAGAGTCTGTCCTGCAATAAACCCTGGTTTAGCACGATGGCAAGGTACATAGGTGATGCGCCGATGCCTTCAGGAAAGCCTGCCAATTCCGAGTCCTTTCCCATCAGCAGGTCGACTATGTCCTTGTTCCCAACGCGGACAGCCTCATGCAAGGCTGTCTCCTTGTGCTTGTTTTCTTTCCGCAGCAGTTCCTTGGTCCTATCCTCGCCTTCAGTGAAAGCAAGATCAATGAGGCAAGCAACCATGTTGGATTTCCCCGCTCGTGCAGCGCAGTGCAGAGGCGTGTCACCATTCTTGTTTTGCACAAAGAGGAGGTGCTTCGCTTTCCCGTAGATGATGCGAGCGCTCTCCAAGAAATTATCACCATCACCGTAGCCATAGGCAAGGTGTTCATTTTCGGAAATTAAAATTTATTGGGAGTCACTGATAAAGAGGATAAACAGGATATATCGGAAATATCGGACCAAATTCAAATAAAATATAATTTGAATTTAAGTAAATTTAAATAAATTTAAACAAAATTTGTACGAAAAAGATAGATATTTTCTTATCGGCATCCACGGATAAAAAGGATATATCGGAAATATGAAGAGATTTCGGCCGATAAAGGAAACCATGGCCATAGGTGGTCAACGCATGGCGTTCATCACGGGTTAGGCACCAGCGCCACCATCCTCGCCGATTATCCTTTTTTTGCTCAAGGAGAAGGAGATGCTTCGCTTCTCTGGTCCTGGTACAGAAATTGTCGCCCTGACCACAGGCGGCCACCACGTGTAGTGCAGTGTCACCTTCAGCAGTGTCCCCTTCCAAGATCAACTCATTTGCTTCTGTGTCAGCATCAGATGCGCGCCGAATTGGCAAGCTCCCGTCGTCGGTGCCGCTGCTGCCAGAGGTTTGACCGTGTTCCCCGTTGAGGAGGGTTTGCAGTTCCCCAGAAGAGCCGGATGATGCCAATGCTAGCAGATGGGGATCCATATTCCCCTGGTGAGGCTTCTCCGCTGAAGCAGCAGCCTGCTGCTTGGCCATCACCACAACCATCATCTTCGAATCTTCTTCCTGCTTGTTCACCAGATCTTTCAACTGCTGGACATTGCCACCGCCTGTGGCCACCATCAGCTTGGCGTCCATGGTCGTCGCTACCGGAGCATTTGCTTGCTGTTCAGTGGGCGATGTAAGAGTTTTCCCTGCTCCAATGCTCGACGACATCTCCAACTAGGAAGCAGGGTTTTCTTTTTCTTTTTCTTTTTTTGAAAGGAAGGAAGCAGGGTTTTCTTTACCGATAGCTAGCCCCAAAAACAAAAACAAAACAAAAAAAACAAAACAAAAAAAGGTCATGGTTTTCATCAAAAAAAAAGAAGGTCATGGTCAGCGATAAATGGGATCCTGTCGGATTCTACGAATTAAAGGGAGGAAGAATATAAAACAACTTGTTTCTGCAGCCTCTTATGTATTGACCAAAACTCAAAAGTTTTTGTTTTTATTCTTCTATATTTATGGACGTTCTTGAAGTAGTATATATAGTAATCCAGTTTTGCTATGGTACTCCTAAATAACTATAGATTGTTAATCATTTAATTAGATCGAACGGTTATGATCACCTATTAGCTCTTAGAAGGTAATAGATGGAATATTTATTGATCTAATTTTTATTTTTTTAAAAAAATTAGTATAAATAATGAAATGTCTTTGTTTTAGACTAAAAAATTCTTGCTTCTAGATCTAATTGTTGCATGCGTGATTTGTTGAATGTGATGTTTCTTTATTTAGGGAACCTGGAGGGGATTTTTTCTTTTCTCAGTTATTTGTTTAATTAATTAATTTAAAAAATAAAAAAAACAATGATTCAGATTTATTTGAGCTATTACTTTCTAGTACTCCCTCCGTTCTAAATTATAAGTCGCTTTGACTTTTTTTGTTCATCCATTTCGCTATGTATCGAGGCATTTTTAAATCTAGATGCATAGCAAAATATATGTACCAAAAAAGTCAAAACATTTTATAATTTGGAACGGAGGAAGTTGTAGATACAAAGGTAACTGCACAATATCATGCCAGGCTGCTGCAGCTGTAGCTTCGAAGCAGAATTTTGTTTATTTGGATTACAAATCTAACCCATCGCGTGCCTGGACAGGTCAAAAATCACAAGCATGAAGCTAGTACACATTTACATTATTCCTACAAGTATCATCACAAGTACACATATATGAAGTCGAAATTTTGCGCTAGCTAATGCAGGAATTAATTTGCATGCTTCTGAACATGTTCTGACCCTATGTGTATGCACACTATATTACAGATAGATAGATGAACATTTTTGCAATCGAAGCAGGGAGTAGTCACGTAGTTACATACCTCAGTTTGATCTATTTGGCACTGGCGTCCAGTATGCAGGAGATCTCGCAGAATACAATCCGCCTAAAAGATTGAGCCAAACGATAGATGGATAAATGATGCTACATGTATGTGTGTCTGCAATGTGTGTGTGTGTGTGTGTGAGAGAGAGAGAGAGAGAGGCGATGCCTGATGAGGGGGAATCCTAATACAAGATGTGTGCTTGCACAGTAAATGGCCGGCGATCCAGATAGGCCAACTTTGCTTCTTTGTCAAGTACTGTATATCAGATGATTCTTCGCTTGCATCGGGAGCAGCGCTTCCATCATATTATTCTTTCCTTGCTTCCATCATATTATTTTTTGCAAAGGTAAAGAAGGTTAAAGGGCAAAGGTAGGCATGGTTCCAAAGGAGCAGCGCTTAGTAAAGTTGTGACACAGAAGACTGTCTGGAGTTTGTCTGCCTCATCCATCAGGTCTGCAACTAATAGCTTCTGCTTTATTTGGGTGCGACACAAGGCAACAAGTTTTTATAACAAACAAAATAAGCAACACATGAAAAACAAGCTCAAAAAGCTCGAGCTTCTGGTCGAGACGGCGAAGTCTGATGAGGCGTCCTTTGTGGAATTTCAGCGAAAATTCAAAGGGCCCCTGTCCGGCCCCTAGTAAGCGGGAAGCCATGTAGGTACTCTTTCCTGGGAGGCGTCGGTATCGTCATGGTCTGGTGACAAACGTCAAGTAGGCCAAGCAGTCCCAACGCTTGCCTTGTTGTACCCACGGTAGCAGATTATATCACCGTAGTCCTTTGTATGTGTTTTGTTGTAGCTGCTAGGGTCTAGCTCTAGCTTGCCGACATTCTTTGTTGGTCCTCAATGCTAGCATCTTACCAGCAGGTTTGGAACAGCTAGAACTTGTCGATATCATGTAACTTTCAAACTTTCATGTCCTCTTAATGGAAAAAAAGCAACACATATTTTTAATTTCCTTCCCAAACATAAATTTAGTCATGTCACGCTAATAAAAGTATTGTACTTAATTTTTTAAACAGTGATTTTGAATTAGGGAAAAGATAGGAAGATTTGTAAAAGATTGGTCCAAACTCTACATGCAACATATATTTACACAAAAAATTAAAAGTTAGCATTTTTTATATTACTAGCAAAAGTGAAAAGTGCCCGTGCGTTGCAACGGATGGTTACCTGCTTTAGTCATCCAAGTCAGCGCCCGCTTGCTCATAGTTTTCTCACCCCCGACCTCCATCATCCTTAGTGTGCCTGACTACCTATGGACACTAGTATAGTGCCCATGCCGACGCTACGGAAACATTCAAACATGCATATTAAAACAACCAAAAGACAGTTTGCTCTTTGCTGTATAAGACTTAGCATTTACAACTTAGTTGGTTATCATTTAGCACTCAACATGCACCATGCAAATAAACATATGATCAGAAATTCCTTTTTAGTGAAATTGACTTAAATCTCTTCAAACACACAAAAAAAATCAAGCCTTGCTGAAGACAAAAAATGTTTGTTGCACCCGAAACTTTCTAACTCTCTCCATATCAAATGATTTGTCATCATCCCCAGAGCCTAATTTCATTGAGCAAACTTTTCCATTCATTCACGAATCATTCTCAGTAGCCTAGTGACAAGGTCATTATACGATCAGGAAGGTCATCCCATTCAACACTTGTCAGCATGACGTAGTCTACTCTTCAAAGGATGTTATCTGTCAGATAATTTGCAGCATAGCCATCATCTTCAATGTGTTTATAACTGACAGAGATCATACCCCCAAGTCGCGACTACCATGGTTGTCGTGGGAGGCTCTAGGGCATCCGGTAGGGGAGGCTTTGTTGCTGGTTTTCACGACGCAGATATTCCACGAATTTATGGTATCTGCAAATCAGATATCGTGACAGATCATGACATGGGGCCTTGACTTCATAAAAGAGCAAAATATTATGGAAAGTGACTATGAAAATGCTTGAGAAATAAATACGGCTCACATGTTTCTGAACAGCAAAAAATTCATACAAAAGGCATATTGCACATAAAAAAATCCATACCCTTTAAAAAAAGCATATAGAAGGCTACATCACATTCATTTGTGCTAGCATCGCCATTTTCATGACCGAGCGATCCAGGTCGAACGTGGCAAGTAAATTTCCTAAAAGATTGATCTTGTTGAGTTGCTATTGTCAATGCTAAGTTATCTACCCAACAGACAGAATTGCAGCCCACTTCTTAAGGTTCTCCAGCAGCACATCCTAAGCACATGTAAATTCATTCTAGAAATTCATATGTACTCGTTGCCTCTTCTTTAATTTTCTATTGCCCATTCTCACTATACAGGTCATCAAGAAAAAAATGGATTTATGTATGAAAATAAAAGAAGAGGCAATGAGTATATTGCCCGTGCTAACATTACGGGACACATTAAGGACAAACTTAACTGATATAAATATGCATGTCCGACGGTATCTAAAAATGCATACACAATAAATAAAATAAAAGCCATAAGATCCTGGACACAAATTTGTACCTCTGACATTGAAGCAAGTACTTGTCCTGACAGTTGATTAGGCATGTGAATATCAGTGATGCACTTCAAACAGAAATCCAGTCTCAAATTCAGAACACATACCATGCACTATCAAAACTCCAAAACAGAAATCCAGTTTGGAGGCAACAACACTGCTAACAACTACGGAAAGGTTTGATACAATGTACCCCATTCCGCAGTCAACAATAAGCTGGTACTCTGGATCCTCCTCAAGGATGGAACCTTGATTATAGAAGTTAGTGCCTTTCTTGTTAGTTTTCATTCTTAATATTCTACTGATAAAGGCTGAAAAAAATATTCTACTGATAAAGCATTGCAGTCAACAATAAGATGGTACTCTGGATCCTCCTCAAGGATGGAACCTTGATTATAGAAGTTAGTGCCTTTCTGAAGTGGATCTTCAACTTTCTGCAAACAAACGATGAAGAGGGAAGATTTTTACAGTAAGTCAACGAATCCCCTGAGGGAAAACCTTGGACTGTTCGTAATGCCTCATAGTGTTATAACTTATACAACCTCTACAATAGGTAGGTTTGCAGCCATATTCTGAGCCAATAGAATTACAATAGAATAGACCATATTTTAGTTGTCCTAATACTCGTAACCTTTTGCGAAACCATAATGCATTGTTAGAGTAAGTAAACCACCCATAATATACCTGCGAAAATCAGACCTTCACTCACTGTTGGTAACGGTGATTTGGCGATAGCCTCTGAGCTGACAGATTCAAGCCAGGATCATGAGCAATAGCGAGTCCTTGATACCTTGAGTGACATCAATTCAGCACTCCACTGCCTGCCTCCTCTGTCTTGACTTCTTTGTTCTTCTTCAATCCTCGTCTTCACTCTCGGCTTCACCATCCAGTGCTGCAAATGCTTTGTCTGAATTGGAAGGCTACCATCGCCTGGAACACCTCCACCATCGCCAACTCGATCTGCGTGCCCTTTCCCCTTAGGCTTCAGTTCCAGCAGCTGCAGGGCCCTCGCCACTGCCAGCCCTCTGCTCATGCACCCCTTATTGTGCGGCTCCTTCTCCACGAGCTTGGACTCGAACATCCTGTCCTCATCCAAGCCGCTGTCGACGAAGAGCAGAACGATAGGGTTAGGGGAAGGAGCGGGGTGAAAGAGGGGATGAGGCGGCGCATCACCGTCATTGGAGGGGAGAGGGTCCAACCGTCGAAGTCCATCTCCTCCACTGGTCAGTTGTTGGATGCATGGTCCATTAGGCCTGCTGTTGTGCGGCGCAGGCGGGATGCGGCGGCGTCGGCGAGGCGCGCACGGAGGGAGGCAGCCTCGTCCCCTCGGCGGCGGCGGCGCGGGCCTGGCGGCGGCGCTCAGCCTTCATCCAAGCAGCGCGGTGGCAGATCGAGGCCGCCCCGACGTTCTGGCCGCCGCATCATATCCTCACCCGCTACTTCTTCTCCAATGCCGTCGGCGTCGGTGGCGGCATACGAAGGGGCCAACGGACGTTCGCCGGCGCTCTGCTGGAAGCGCGACGAGGTGGCGATGGAGATGATGATGGCGTTGATGACGCGGTCGTGTGGCCGGTGGGGTGCACGCGCGGCGGCGGCGCTGAACAGCGACTCGAAGAGAGAGGATATCTTTTTTCTGGAGAAATTCAATTCAGACGGAGGAAGCACGAGCTGCCGCGGCCTGCAAGCCGCGAACCAGCCACCACCGCCGCCCGCGCGCTAGAATCTGGCTACGGGGCCGGCCACGGCGAGGCTCGGCCAGCCACACCCCAGCCAAGGAGCAGCGGGGGAGGAGCACTGGGGAAGAAGGGGTTGGAGAGGCGGCGGTGGTGGAAGTCGCGTGGTGTTCTCTTTTTTTTTTCTCCCTTTCCGCATTCACTCGAGCCTCCCTTGATTTTTGAGACAATTACCTGTACACCATCATAAAAGTTCGAAATGATCTATGGGATTTTGAAAAGTTCCTCGATTACCTCGCCGAAGAAGCACTTTCGTTAGTTTTCCTGACAAAAGCGGAAAGACGATTTTGCCCTCGATTATAGAATGCATCAAAATTTTCATTCTTTCCTCCTGTAACATCTCGTGATTCAAAAACTTCACTTTTTCTCTCGTACTATTATGAAAAAATCATGGTAACCTTATACGTGTGCATGTGAAAAACTTTAATAATTATAATAAATTGAAATGCATACGTAACTTCTGTGATTCAAAAAACTTCACTTTTTTCTACGTACCATTATGAAAAAAATCATGATGCATTGAAAACGTGTGCATATGAAAACTTTAATAATTAAACACATCAAATGATGATTAAATTTCATTTCGGATTTGAAGATGTTATAATTTTGAGGAAAGAATGAAAATTTTGATGCATTCTATAAGCGAGGGCAAAATCGAGAAGAAAAACTAAAGAAAGTGGCACGTAGATAAAAAAACTTTGGACAAGGGTACTGAGGAACTTTTCAAAATTTCAATGGCACGTAGATCATTTTAAACTTTTATAATGGCATAAAGGTAAAAGGCCCTTGATTTTTTTGGGAGAAAAAAGAGAAGCAGTGGGCTCGAACCGTGGTCGCCTCCTACAGCCGTGGAGGTCCACGGGAGGGCGACGGAGGGCAAACACACTAAACATGAGCCATCGAATTTAGATGAGTAATAAGAGAGAATGGCTAAGAGATAATCTGGTACACTTGTTTTGATAGTGTTATATTTTCTGGATGCATTCATAGGTATGAATGTAGCATAGATCATGACTATAGAGCAGACATTTATTGTGTGGTCGTAGATTTATTCTAACTGGTGTATTATAGGGGTAGATAAAATGCCCATGACATCCCTATTATGACTGGCCTAAGGCTCGGTCCTAAGTCTCAGCTCTTCACTCGATGGTCAGAAATGTGGGTCCTTGATGTCAGTCTCTAAGGCAAGGTATATGGATCTCTATCGTGGAGACATAGTATACCATGTACTACAAGTGCTTCCAACTCTTCCTCTGTCTCATAAAAAATGTCATTATATTCTTACTCCCCGAAAAGTTAAAATATTTTTAACTTTAATCAAATATATATAAAAAGATATTAATATGTCATTCTTCACCGTGGCCACTGCCATGCATGGGGTTAGGCGCCATGGCAAAAGCTTTGTCCTTCTTGGGCCAATGACAGCGATGCCTCTAGGCGCAGTTTCTTCCTTGGAAGCATACATCGAACGGTCCTCTCCCCTTTGTGTGGCGTGTCTTTTCTGGGTAAAAATCTTGACCTTCTAGTCAGGCGACGGCGGTGTCGGGGGCGTCTCGTCCCTCCTTGGAGGCATAGTTTTGGAAGCTTGTGCTGGGTCAGTCTATGGCGACGGCTAGCGTCGTGTTGAGGAAGGTGGAGGCCTAGTTGAGGATTCAAGTTGGCGGTGTCCACGACGGAGGAAGGTGGTTAGGACGAGGGCGTTGGTACGGCGATTGGAACGCCTCGCATCTGCTTGGCAGTGCAGGGTGGCGGTCTGGTGGGACCATATGACAGTTGCAACCAAGAAGTTGGTGAGGAGGCCGGCGTGGGAGGCGCCCATGGAGTTGGCGTTGAGGCCGACGAGGGAGGTGGTGGCCAGCAGATGTGTGTTGCCATGGTGATCTGCGTGGTGTGGCGGTGGGCAGTCCCGCTCAGTGACGACTGTTTCTAATGCAAGGAGGCATTCTGACTGGCAACCTTGAGGACGTGTGTGTGGCACTTCTATCTTGATGAGGCAACTAAGTCCTGGAAGCTACAGTGTGTGCGCTTAGATCTCGGTGGATGAGGTTAGCTTAGCGAGCGCCAGAGGCAACTATGGCTTGTAGCGGACTACGTCTGTTAGCCCTGCTCGGCAGTGGGCTCCCTCGGTGTGGGATGGCGGCGACGCAAGCGGTGACGACGGCATTTTCATCCTAGCAACACTGTTGTTCGGCTATTGGTGGTGCAGTGTGGTGACCGACTTGTGGTGTTTCGGAGGCAGTTGAGCATGCATTGAGCATGTGTTCTGTGTTGAGCTTCGGCCTGTGTGGCTCGTGTAAGGACCCATTCCGACTGGTCAGAGTTATTTTTATTCTTCACTTGAGTTTGAGTTTGGTGCATGTTGATGGCCCAATCCAACGGATCGTAGTTGCATTGTTTTTTTTTTATTTTGCCTAGTCTAGGTTTTATCTGCTTTTTAATATAATCAGCAGCTCTTTTGTCTAATTCATTTAAAAAAAATTCGGTGAAGACTATCGTCGAATCAGCCTCGTCGTTTTGACCTTCCTTTGCTGCGTACCTAGAGTTCCAGACCATGTGTGGCTTCAGACAATCTAGCCCCTAACGATGTGGTGACAACATGGCTGCTGCATTTTCTTCTTTGTGACCTTCCTTTGCTGCGTACCTAGAGTTCCAGACCATGTGTGGCTTCAGACAATCTATCCCCTAACGATGTGGTGACAACATGGCTGTTGCAGTTTCTTCTTTGTGCCGAAAGATAACTACTCTAATTTCTTTTCTAACGTGGGCAGGAGATCAAATGCCTCTTACCCTGTTTCTGTGTGCCGTGTGTGCTAAACGTGCCATGTCGATCTCATGTGCAAAGTGCAGACTCCTGTGATGTGATGTTGTTATTAACAATCTTATTAGGCATAAGATTACTTATTTTTGCTTTGCTTCTCTGGCTAGCTATATATAGGCGTAGGACGGAATCCCATTCAGGTTTGCATATTGACATGGGACGAGCCATCCTTGTCTAGGAGTAACGTGAGAAGAAGTTTGACATGTTCATCCACAGCTCGTGCACCACGGCGACACTATTATTGCTTTGTGCCTCTTTTCAGGCAGGTGAAAAGTGACGAGCATCCCATCTCAAGCTTGTGTTGGATATGCCCAATAAGTCAGCCCAATTGGCCCATGAGGCAGGCCCATTAGCATCTCTATAAATGCTAATTGCCTGGTCAGGAGGGTGATTGTGAGACCCAGCCCACTGGTCCAAGTTGGGCCGGACCGAATCCACGGCACCGCATCTTCGGGGGCACTGTAGCAACATGACAAACACTGTAGCTACAACCTTTAGTACGCCTAGCCTTAGGAGGCTGTTAACTCCGGATTGCTCCTTTTGCGCGAAGCGAGAACGAAAGCACAAGATAGCTAATTAGCAAATGTGGTTTATTCAACGTGTAGAATGGGCCTTAGCCATCTTCCTGGGTCGGGACGTTACAGTGATTAACCCTAATCACTTGAGTCACGAGAGCAGCCACCGCACTTGTGCCTCTTGTGCCTGATGTGTGCACGCAAGCCTCGGCCATGGTTCTTCATTGGTACTGCTGCTGTCCCTCGAGCGTAGCGACGAGTGCTAGGACGCTAAGTTGCGTCGTTTTTCTCTCCGTACGTGTGGACGTTCATAGAGGTGCTGCTGCATTGCACACTACGTCGTACGGTACGACTACTACATCGACTACGCGCGTTCCGCCAAGTCTTCCGCTGCGCGCGCGTGTGGGAAGGTATAATCTATGATCATCTACAAGCAATTGATCATGTTTTTACACGGTATTCATTTTTGTGCTAGCGAGTAGCCACCCACGTTTCCCAACAGTGGTATCTAGAGCCGTGCTTGCGTTGTTTTTTATCTAGATTATTTTAGCGCGGTTGGTCGTCGGATAGATCGTTTTAACGGATAACATTATGCGTGTATTCGGATTACCTTACTCCGTTTTTGCTTCCTCATTATGTGACTGGCTAATCGGCCGTCTTTACGATGACGCGCGAGCGTCGCGTGGTTGACCACGAGGTTGTGAATTCATGTAGCGAAGCAGTTGATACACAGCTGTATGGCTATTTCAGCTAGAATGCCATGCTTGTTAATTTGTAGCGGCATGCGAAAAATCTGTTCCATCCGTCATCGGCCGGTGGAGTCAACTGCGTGTTAAAAAAAACCGTAACATTGTTTGTAGAAACGTCTAACTTGTTTTTACAGAGAATGATGTGATGGTATGGCCTCAAAATCATATGTGATGATATGTGTAATATTTGGTGCGGCCTGTGTGTCGCTAATTATTACAGCTGGGTTGAGGCTGTTCGTTTATTGTATTCGGCCTGCGTGTCGTCC